ATGCATTAAAAAAGATAACATTTCTGCCTCTGAAGACCAGATAATCTACCTCACAGTTTGTATAGCCAGCTAAGTGAAGCGCTCAGGGACTGTGTGAATGAAGTGTGTCTTTGCTTGATTGTGTTTCTAGGATACAGTTTATAATAAAAGACCATGTCTATAAGGCACAATTCCCTCTTCACGCTTCCTTTTGCTCCGGGAGGGGTAGTAATTTTAGTTTGATATATACCGTCAGGCAGCACCTCTCCCCTGTGCTCACCTGGCTGCACACATTGACAGTAGGCAGACAGAGCAAGGCTCCCGCTGCCTCCCTCCACCCATTAATCCCTCCTTAACGTGCACATACAGAAATAAATAAAGTTCTGGTTCTTTCCTACTCCTTTTCAGGGCCCAAGTTGTATTAGTCCCAGAGATACTTTTATATTATTGAAATGAATAATTGTATATGCTGTGCCACAAAATATGTAAAATTGTCGCTCATGAAGAACCTGTTGCATTCGTGGGTCTGGGGCATCATCGCAGGATGACTGTGCCAAACGCCCCGAGCCCCAAGCCTTGTTGTAAGCCATCCTCCATCCTCAGCTGGACAGGAAACTGTTAGGGGTAAGAGGATATCTCAGACCAGTTTATTTAGTCTCATAACGGCTACAGGGTTTTGGACCTCTCTTTAGGGAAATTCCACCAATGTAATGTCTTTTTCTTGTGCCAGGTTTAGGTAAGTGTATTCAGTCCGACTGATCTGTGTGTATAAATAGCCCTAGCCTTGAGCAACCACCGTGACATTTTTTATAACCCAGCAGATCCAGATCTATATACTCAGGACCCAGAGAGGACAGCAAATATTTTTGGGTTTGTTTTTTCCTGCTTTTTTTTTTTTTTTCAACTTCCTTGTACTCAAGTTGTAAAACTTCTTACATTGCTTCTCTCTTGGGGATGCTGCAGTTACTCACCAAGATCAGAAAAGAAACGCTTGTGCAGAAAGAGCCCAGCAACCTGGGGATTCATCTTTAAGGATCTGTGGGGTTTTTTTCAGTGAACAACCTTAAGATAGAATTACCGTTTATTTTGGAGAATTGCTTTAAATTACTTCGATTTTCTGCATTTTCATTTTAAAGCTCCTCTCTTTGCAATCATCTTCTTGCCAGAAATAGGGCCATGATAATTAGACCCAGTAGCTTCACATATCTGTCTTCCTACCCAAGATCCAGACGAGCTGCAAGAGGCTGCAGAAACAGTTCTCACTTTGTTGAATGCAAATCAAGTTTGGGCAGTGCAAGCAAATGCTTTTCCCTGTCATATTCCAGCTATTCATCACAGGGAGAGTATGAGTTAGAAATACTGTATGGGTTTATGGGGTTATATGCATTGGAAGGGACCTGTCAAGCATTCTGGCTGCCCACATTTCTGTTATCTCCCTTCAGCTGTGTTTGTTATTGCATTGCTTTAAAATAGGAAGATCCTGACTTCTTGTAGATTGTGCCACCATCTATGTGATTATATTCATCCTGGAAATGTGCGGCTTACACAGCTTAGTTAAGTGTTGTAAGAAAACATTTATCCTGCATGTCTTCATCTGCTGTATAGCTTAGCCATGTGAGGAACTAGACTGAAAAAATCAATACATTTTTAATAAAGAAGGTAAGGTAGAGGAGATACTTTCTGTGAGAGGGTGACATTTTGTTACTTAGCACTGTGGCAAGGTAGAATTAGCCAATACCAGGTAGGTTATACGCTGCATAAATTGCTGCAAATATATTTAGGCAAAACATAGGGACTCATTTTATAAAGTGAGTTCTAATTTTGCACTCAGAGGTTGTGCACTCACCTGTAATCAAGCAATTGGATCAACAGTTGCCTGAACTACAGGGACAGCGTGTCACATTGTCTGGAAATTCTGAAACATGGGTTGTTCATATTTTTCCTTTTTTTTTTTTTTTTTTTTTAATGACTCCAGCTACTGTTCTTTGATGTAGAAGCAGAAGCAGCTTCAACAGGGATAAGATGAGGATCTCTGTTTCAAGTCATCACACCAGGGTTGTCCTGCCCTTGGTGCCCACGTGAGGTGGATAAGCGATACGCTCCTGAATGGAAGCAGGCAGACGGTACCCGCGCCTCTGCGCAATCTGCATGTCAGCTGGTAACAAGGCAGTTGCTATCTGAGGTGTCTCAGCAAACTGCATTTTTTGTAATCTAGCCTAGAAAGGGATTTTCTGTTAGGGGTTACGTTGAAGCGTGTTAGCAGAAGGAATAGGATCGCGAATTGGTACAACAAGGGGAACGCATCCCTTTGCGCTTGCCCCAGAGTCTGAGGCTGGGTGCCTCTCAGATGGTTTCTTTCTCCTAAATCGATGTGGCTGTTTGTGCAATGAGGTGCCAATGGGCAATGCTGGGAAGGAGTGGTTGAATCAGCTTCGAGTTCTGGCCATGGATCCTTACATCGCAGGTGATCTCATGGCATCACCAACTGGTTTGATGCATATTTGAACTCTTAGGAAACAATAGTTTACCTTGGAGGCAAAGACGCAATGATAGTTTTTGGTTGTAAGCAGAAACAGGCAGCATCTATTTGGTATGTAAAGCAAGTGTGCATCTCTTTGGTCATGGCCCAACTGTTGGTATTACTCAAAGATCAAAGGCCAAATTACTTTGAAAACCCTGAAACCTATCCATGCTTCACGGCTGTCCCAAAAGACATTACCTGGAGTAGCTTGTTATTTTGAATTAGAAAGCATTTTGGGAAGTCAGAGATAAAAAGTTCTGCTGGTGCGTTCAGTGGGAGCTATTTATCGTATGGTTTTGTATCTTCAACAGACTATCAGAAAACAGCATTTGTGTCCTGAATGTTAAGACTATTTCATAATCATTATTAACCAGTACTGTCATTATGAGCCTGCTTGCTTTAGCCCTCGGGTAACAAAGTTCACTGCTCCATCAAGCTCTGTCATAATCAGCCTTATTATAAAAACATAATATTGTAACCTTCAAAGGCTCCCTGGGCTAGTGATGTAAAAACTGGGAATGAACTGAAGTAATCTTTAGGCCAGCAGCAGTTGCACTGGGAAAATATAACCATTTTTATGCATGTAATGTACATGCTCCCTCCCCACCCTCTTCATGCTCTTCTCAACAGGACAAAAGCTATCCCTCAGACCCATTTTGGAGCCAAATTAGCTCATCAAAGCAGAACAAGTCTATAACACAGTGTTCACTGCATGTCAAATGCCCATCCACCGCTTTGATTTCCATTCTTTGGAGTGCAGTTGCCATATTTTGAGTATTTCATTTCAAGGAGGAAAGCTATTAAGCGTTTCCCCCAAAGTAGCTGATTATTCAATGGCTAAAGATGTCAAGGATAATGAAATAAAAAGGGAGCTAGGCCGTGATAGTCTCTAGCAGAAAAATGCATCTCATTAGAAGGCATTCCCACCAGAGAAGTCTATGGTATTACATGCATGAATTCCTTTCTGCTGTTAAGTTGTTAACCAAGTTTTGGATGCAAACAGCATGCAGCCTCAATGACAGTGCACAAGTGTGTACAAACAGTAATTAATCGTTGGCTCCCTGAATGGAGCCGCTGTGAGGCTGGAGGCAAATCAAAGGGCTGGCCCGGTTTCCAGCGCTTGAGGAACGCGCCGTGCTGTACAACTGGGAACATTCACGGTATGAATATCACCTTGTAAGCCGTGTGGCAGGAGGCTGAGGGGAGCTGGCCTCCACGGGCTCAAGCCTGTGCTCAGCAGAAGGACCTGCCCTTTGGTGTTCGGTGATGGGGACAAACTGTGCGTGCTGTGATCCAAGGGTCTTTCAGTTGAGTTTCCTGGCAATTCTGGAAGGAAAATCAGTCCCACTACACAAAGTGTTTGTATGTGAATTTATATATTCAAGGCTGTTTGTAAGAGCGCATTTTTCAAATGGCGATGGTGTTTTCTACAGGCAGACCCACATTAGAAGTTTATTGCTACTTTGGCATCGGCAACAAAGACCAAATATTCTGACAAGAGGTGTAAGCCCTCTCTCCCACCCCCGCCCAGTACCATGGCTGGAATTAAGAGCGTTTCGTCCAGGCAGTGCATTTTGAGGCAGAGAATGGGGTTGTGTCGGTATGCAACACAGTGGTTGTTGTTAGAGGTTCAGCACATTACCAATGATCCTTGCAGTGGTGTGTGAGACACCGCAATATTTCCTTGCACTTAGAAGAAGCAAAACAGCTTCCCAAGAGAGAGCACTGTGTGGGAAATGTGGGCGAGTATCGGTCTGCTTGGAAGGATAGTGAGGGGCACTGTCATCGTCGGTGTGACTGTGGGTTTGGGGAGGTTGCGCTGAGATGCAATATGGAGGGCAGGGCCCTCAGGCACCGAAGTGTATTGCACCATGTTATAAAATCACCTAAAAAATATCGCAGTATCTGCAGTATATATGTGACAGTAATAGTCCCCAAACTGGCAGCTTGCAATAACCGTACTGCAGCACATCTGCCCATCATTACAGAGTATCGGGACATTTTCTGCAATGGTAAAATCCATTTTCCTGGGCAGTTCAGTGTCAGAGTGAACAAGTCCTCTCCCTGTGCTGTATCTGTCTTGCAAAAGGAGATGAAATACAGGAGGGCTAAGGGAGTCATATAAATTGAATGACTCTCTGGTTTTATGATACTCGCATGAAAATAAAACTGGGCTGGATCATCACTTGATGTAAATCGCCCTAGGGACATGGTACAATTTGGATCAGCTGAGGTGCTCTTATTTGTCTAACATACATGTGCTATGTGATAAAATTCAAAATCGCAGTAATTAGTTTTTCATTCACCCACTTCTCTTCTTATGCAGATAAAGTGTTGCTTTTTTTGCTTCACATCCTCATGACAGTCCACGTTGCTGAGTAGATCTTGGTAGCGAGCTGTAAGGTCTCACAACAACTTTTGCAAGCAGACTTCTGCTCCTATGCTTCTTTCTTTCTATCTGTAAGCTTAACATTGACTGGCGTTACTTGCACCCTGACAGGTCTGATTGTCCGGGAGGTGAGCATTGAGATTTCCCGCCAGCAAGTCGAGGAGCTCTTCGGGCCCGAAGATTACTGGTGCCAGTGTGTTGCCTGGAGCTCTGCAGGCACCACCAAGAGCCGGAAAGCCTACGTCCGCATCGCATGTGAGTGTCTTTACTCTGTGTGTTGAGTCAATGGTGTTTGGGTGAGGAAAAGTGGAGTTTCTGCCATTTGGGAGAGAGATTTTGTTTCCAACCAGTTAGGCCTTGCATTTTGTGCAGTTATTGATGCACACAAAAATTAAGGCCTTCAGAAGCATTCGTAAGAATTTCAGTTTATCCTGTTCTTAATAGTGAAATCTTTGTCTTCTCCTTTGGTGGGGGGGAAAGCATCAAAACCAGTATTTCTCGAGTACAGCAGTTATGTATGTCTCAAGAAAAGTGTCTGAAGCTAATGAGTAGGGATATTACCGAAGCAAGCTGTGCAATGAGGTCACGCTGTTCCTTTCACAGAAGCACAGAATGGTTGAGGCTGGAAGGGACCTCTGGAGGTCATCTGGTCCAACCCCCCTGCTCAAGCAGGACCACCTAGAGCTGGTTGCCCAGGACTGATTCCAGATGACTTTTGAGTATCTCCAAGGAGGGAGACCCCACCAGCAACCTGTGCCAGTGCTCAGTCACCCTCACAGTGAAAAAGTGTTCCCTGATGTTCAGACGGACCCTGCTGTGTTTCTGTGTGTGCCCGTTGCCTCTGGTTCCGTCACTGGACACCAGTGAAAAGAGCCTGGCTCTGTCCTCGTTACACCCTCCCCTTCAGGTATTTGTACACATGGATGAGATCCCCTGAGCCTTCTCTTCTCTGTGCTGAGCAGTCCCCGCTCTCCCAGACTTTCCTTATATGAGAGATGGTAGTCATGGCCCTTTGCTGAACTCTCTCCAGTATGTCCATGTCTCTCTTGTACTGAGGAGCCCATAACTGGACCCAGTACTCCAGGTGTGGCCTCACCAGTGCTGAATAGAGGGCAAGGATCACCTCCATCAGCCTGCTGGCAATAATTTGTCCAATGCAGCCCAGGATACCATTCACTGCCTTTGCAGCAAGGGCCCATTGCTGACTCATGGTTAACTTGGTGTCCACCAGGACCCCCAGGTCCTTTTTTGCAAAGCTGAAAATAAATATCTCTGCAATCATATAATAAAGCCGCTGTTCCTTAGCAAAGGCAAAAGTGTGTGTTTAGGGTATCATGTAATCAGATTGGTAATACGAGATTGAAAGTGATCATCTCAACCCTAAAATTTCATCCTTGGTATTCATGGCTACTAACCTCAGTATTTATTTTGAACCCTTCCCAGCTTAGACCCCAAGAACACAGGGCTGCCAGTTCCCTGAAAACAGATCCTCATTTGACTGTACAAATATTTAATGTTCATTAATTTTCAAAGAGGTGCTTTTCTTTGTAATAGAGTAGTCACACTGGGGGCTCCCATTTCATTTTCACATGATGAAATCCTCTTTTGTATAATGGGAACAAAATACATCATCCAGAATTATATCTCTTCCGCTGTTTTCACCTCAGCAAAAACACATTTTATGAGAAAAGGTCATTAGAAGCTGGGTTTGCAGCGTACTTCTATTTCCTGCACTGTGCCTAACAATTTATAATGGGAGAAAAGAATTCTTCCAGCCAGATAAAGCTTTTCACAGGCACGTTAGAGGAAGGACACTATGTCATTTAAAACTCTCCATTTAGAGCTTGATTCTCTTTTTGTTCTTGAGAAAGTATTACGGGGTTAAATCCTTAAAGAGGAGTTACCTTCTGTGTAAATACCCAGATACAGATCTAGGTGGTGCAATTTAAATACCCATTTTTGAATGCTTTTAGTCCAAGTAACTGGCTGCAAGTTGAGGACCTGTACTTTTGAGTACTCAGAGAAGAATTTCACCAGCGTTAAGTGGTATTAAAATTATGGTACAGACAGTCTTCCTGCAAAATTAGAAATGTATTACATGTGTGCATAGTGCTTTCCCATGGCGGGAAACTTTTCAAGACTTTGAGGGTTTTCTTTTTCCGTACGGAAACAAAAGAGAGCGATTTCAATATTTATTTTTTTTTCTTCTAAACAGTCAGCACTTCAGAGAGGCTTTAGCAATATTTGAACAGGTTTTTTAGATTATGACTCCTAAGTTAACTCATTAAGTAGATTTTCATGTCCCGCCAGTTAGCCCTTGACACAGATGACCATTAAATTAACGCAGTTTAGAAGTCTGAGTGTATTTCACTTGATGGTTAAGTAGCTTTTATATACTGCCATACCTATGCACTTAATTTCTATATAACACATAATCATTGTACATGTATGCAAGTTATTTTATATGAATTGACATTTCTTCTGAAATTTCTGTTGAAGGCACTCATAATATAAGGCTTGCTTCTTTTTTTTACCATAGTTTGGAAAGGTACAATCAATTCAGTGATTTTTCTAGAGTCTTCGTGTTTTGTTTTTTTTTTAAAAACAGTCTAATTAAATAAATTCCAGGGGGTTTTATGTGCCTGTAACTCAAACGTGGCTTTGTATTTTAGTGAAGTTTTTTTAACCTCTTCATCCTGAATTTGGGGTTCTTGACCAGCTGTGATGCAGGCAAACCACTTAGAGTCCTTGGGATTAAGAGTTGAAGTGTTAGGCCTTCAACCTGCAGATTTTCAAACAGCAGCAAAAGCACATTCTCTGCAAAATTGTGCATTTCCAGTTTCACAGATTTCTATACATTACTCAGGTATCTCAGGACTATTTTTTTAGGAGCTCAGGCATATGATGTGGGGTATATGCCTTATTTTATAATGCCATTTGATCTACAAGTTCCCTGTTTCAAACTGTGGGCTCAGATGTACCAATACTTGTCTATATTCAAAGCCTTGACTTCAGAGGACTGCATCTGCACTGGCAATATCATAGCTGTTTTCTATCTAAACTTTAAACACAGCTGGTAAGTCTTCTGTTGGCTACACAGTGTGCCACACGTCTGGGATGCAAGGTAGGGTCCATGCAGTATTTATTAATCTAGAAAATCAAGGATGTCCAAAATTTAAGAGGGGCAGAAGAGCCCATCTCTCCAGCTCTGCAGCTATAGTTGCATGTTTGTCACCAATGCAGTCTTCACTTTTAATTGGTACAAAAAGTGAGCACTGACACCTTTGGGAAAGGTGAGGGGTAAATGGAGCATGTAAAGTGCTATGCTTAAGCTATATTATTATTTATTTTAATACCTGAACCTGATGATTTCATCTTGACAGGTACGACTGTAACATAACTAGCCATACCTAGCACATTAAGAAAAGCTTCTCTCCTTCTCCCTCTCCCTTTTCCTGTCCTCCTCCTCCTTCTCTTTTTCCTTCTCCTCTTCTTCTTCTCTTTCTCTCTTTGCTCCTTTATGCCCACCGGTCTTATTCTGGAATTATTGTATCCTCTCAAGGGCTGGAGCTGCACTCTATTAAAACAAACAAAAAAAATAGCGTTCAACATCTCTGTTCACTGAGCGTGTAATAGAATTAACTGAAAAGTAATTTGAAAGTGTGAAAAATGTGCATCCTGGAAAAGCCGCTTGTATTTGTTTAATGCAGGGTCAGGCATGTGTCAGAAAGTACATAACAACCGAGTCAATGGAAGATCTCTGTGAAATCAATTGCAGCATCGCTCCGGCCAAGAGCTTCAGTTATTCAGGAAGGGAGTAATCTATAAATACAGAGTGAAGATGCTGCTGGTTTTCCAAGGCCGCCCATGCTAGCAATATAAACAGGAAAAGAGTCTTAGTCTAAAGCCAACATCCTGGCTTCTCTAAGTGTTCAGGGCATTTAATGGCGCCTCGCCATTGCACTCCTGGATGCCGTGTGTGCTAGGAAATCACTCCCTCTGTGTGGGCTGTTCCTGAAAGGGAGGAGAAATAATAGGTGATAGTAACAACGTGATTTTCAGCTTTTTTCCTATTTCATGGAATTCATCTTCCTGAGGCGCTAGTCTCCCTCTGAGAACAGAGCTGAGCGTTTTGTCCTCTTAAATAGCAGGTTTGTTGGGATTAATTTGCACTTTGCCATTCTGCATATCTCAGTAACCAGCAAAGTAGGGACACCTAATGTATATTTTGGTGGAGCTGGAAAGATACAATTTTCTGAGATATTGGCCTATGAAAGCACTAAAACGCATTTGCTATTTATTCACACATTTCTTATTTATTCAAGGCACATCCTATCAGGAGCACCAGGAGTCACTAATATGTTTTGATACAGTTTTTCTGCTCAATTAAAAAAATGTTACTTTTGTGGAGGGAGGAAGGAGGGGGTTTGGGTAGCTTTATCTTTGGCTGAAAAAACCCAAGCCCAATATAAAGTTTTAATGTGAATTTTATGTAACAAGACTGATGTCATTGAACAGATAAAGCCTAACAGGGCAAAATTCTTGTTAAAAGGATGAATGAGGCCTGAGCCTGAGTAACCGAGAGTAGAGTTAAGCCCACTGGAAAATACATCTTATAAAGACTAAACAATAGCTGCAGGATTTGACCTAATTTTTAGATCAGATAATAAATGGGTGGCTAAGACAAATTGCTCTGAGCCCATGTGCATAAAGCAGCCTCACTTTTCATTTGCTCCAGTTTGGTGTTGCTGTAGTCTCCCTGACTTCATGGTGTTAGCCCAGGCTGTCCTTGAGAAAATATAGTAAGAATATAAGCCCTAAATCTGCTGCCTGATTTTGGATTTGTTGAAAACCTATAAGAAAATAGCAGCTTTCTCTGTAATTTCTGTACCTGATCTTTTTTGGTATAATGGATGTGGATATTCTCTTATTTTCCTTTATTCATTATCTAAAATCAGAAGTAAAAAAAAAAACAAAAACAAAACATAATTTTAAAAAGCCCTGATGTAGTAAGGAACTGCACGTGTTAATCTTTTGTATAATTTGATACTAGTTTCCTATGTACTTATCTAAAAGCCTTTTTTCCCCCAGACATTTTTTCAAAGGAATGTAGCTAATATATGCATGTCAGATACTGTATACTGATAAGATAAATGCAGTACAGAAAAGCAGACTAGTTCACCTGATAGTTTATCTCTATTTACAAGGGGTATGCAGTTGTGCAAAGAAACAGATATGAAAAAAAAAAAAAATCACAGATTCTTTACTGACACTCGGTTATCTCACATTTTAGTACAGAGGCCATGCTCCGTGTTCCATTGCTGCAGTGCCTGTCTTCCCTCTCTTCACACAGCTAGTCCTAGCAGTGCTGTGAGGACGTGCTCCCGTAGCCACCAAAGTAGCAGAGCCCATTGCAATAGATACAAAGTTGGGTGAATGTCGAGATATGGAGAGAGGGCTGGGAAGCACGTCACTTGAAAATTTTAATAGGAAAGTACGTCCAGGTTATGCAGTAATAATAAATAGCTCCAAAGTGTGTTTCGTGCACTTTGATAAGTGTGCATGAGGGTTAGCAGAGAGAGGACCTTAATTCCTTCCTTGTGTACCATCTAAGCTGCTACTAATCGATATCTGCTGCTTGTAGTTAATAAAGGGGTAACTGAGGCACGTGGTCTTGAGCTGAGATTACTGAAGAGAGAACGGCAGATCACAGAAAGGTCAGCAGAGAGGTTAACAGAGCATTTAACATAGTTGATACTACCACCCTGCTTTTGCTGCTGGCCGGTGTGTTTCTGTACTGCTTCCCAAGTTAACGGGCACAACTGGCTCGCAAACATAAGGACGCAGTTGCAACAGTGATAAATACAAATCACATTGCTTTGTGCTAAGACTTTATACATTAAGATGGACTTGACTACGCTCTTAGTGTTGTGTAAAAACAAAAGGAAACCCCTTTACTGAATTTATATTAATTTAATCCCTCAGTAGGAGCCTTGAGAATATCCTGCCTACACAGTCATGCCTAAGAAATTATCATCTTCCAGTAGAGTCTGCTTAGTGCCTAATGGTGAAACGTAGATGCAGTCAGGAAGTTAACAAAATTTTGTGTATGTTTTGGTAGTGACCAGACAGCTGTGTGAGTCAGATTACTGTATAAGAAGAGCAACAACAACAAAATACAAACATTTATACAAAATTATTTCTGTTTTAGTGTTTCAGTGTGTTGTAAATTCAATTCTACATATGAATTGCAATGTACACCTGATGTTTCTAATGTCTATCTTCAGTATATCTGTCATCTAAAAAGGCAGCTGTTAGGGTTAGGTCATTTGAATTTTACATTTAGATTTATTTGAAAAACAAGAACTTTGGATTTCATCTTCAATCACCAAATAGAATTAAGTTTTTAAGTTAGTTTGCAGGTTAAGCTTACAAAGAAAAACAAGAAATATCGAGCTATCAAGTAAAACTATAAGAGGAGGAGAAGAGAAGAATGCGATCGATGGACACCTGGGAACCCATCTGCTCAGTGAATTCTCGATAAAGTTTTCTTGCTTGTATTTTTTACAGTTGTATCAATACCAAATGCATTGAGTGGGTCGTTCTTCATTATAAGCATAGCCCACATAGAAGCTGTGTTTCAGAAGAGTATTTTGTCTTAGCAGCACCTGGCTGAACTAGCTTAGAGATGAAGAGAGGAGGGGAAAAATTGTTTTTTTTTCTGCAGACATGCAGGCAGTGAGTCTCGGAGGAGTTGTCAGGGTGCAGAGTTATCCCCAGCTGGCTGGAGATGCCATCGGCAGAATGAGGGGCTGGCAGGTGTGCACCTCCTGTTTGCTCAGGCTGTAAATACATAGGGAATAAAAGAGGAGAGAAGGTCCTGGGGTCAGGCAAAGCATCTGGCAGATAGTAGCCTGGCAAGCAAAGGGAGTTACTCACCTCATTCCATACCTCAGGTCAGCAGATGTAGCAGCGTGCACCCCCAAAAACTGCACTTCCAAGAAATCTGGTTCAGTCCCCATCAGCTGCTGGGCTGTGAAAGCTGCTGCTGCTTCTTGGGCTGCGTGCGATGGCAGCCTGAGGCCTCACTCCCTGGGCCGCCGGAGGGCTATGGACAAGCTCAGCCCAAGCCGTGGGCTGCCGGGCATCTTTGGAAAGGGGGAAGCTCCACCGTCCCTGATGTTCCTCTCCAGGCTGAGAAGGTGGCCGGGGCAGCCTCATGGTGCCACAGCATTTGTCCTTAGGGCTGGCCAGATGTGAAACAGCCTCTCCAGAGGCAGAAAGAGTGGCGCAGAGTTGCATATTGAGCATAAAGACGGGTTTTTGAGGTGTTGACTTATTTCTTCTGTCCTCAGCTCCAGCTGCTGGTGCTTGGACTGGCTGAGAGCACAGCCCTGTCCAGCCGTGATCTCATCCCCTGAGCAGCAGCAGGAGGGCAGGAGGGCTTTGATCAACACCCAGCGTGCGGCTGATACAGCAGGGAACTCAGCAGGACGAGGCACCACGCTTACAAAAGCAATTGAGAGAGGTTTCAGAGGGATCCCCTGGGTTACAGGCTGTTGACACTCTTGTGACTGTCTCGGTGGAAATCTGGTTTGATCTAATTAACAACAGAGAGCTGGAACCACACAAGGACAAAATGAAAAAAAATAAAAAAGAGGTTTTTGTACCTAACCTTTACGTACCCACCAGCGTGATTGATCCCCACACAAAGGTCATAGACTCAGCTGTGAACAGAAAAGAGAGGCCCAAGTTTGCCTGATAGCTCATGCTTTCTTACATTTAGTATCACAATTCAGTCGCTAATGTCCTTTTTGCAGAAGGTGTCTCTTAACTCCACCTGCATCGTGGAAGGTGATGGAAGAGGAACAGGCCGGTTTTACAGTGTCAGACACGTTTCTCTAACTCGGCATCAGTCATCCAAGTTTGGGAATAAGTGCAGTGAGATGTGTTTTCACATGCATGTGGATCCTTTTTCATTTTGTAGAACATCAGTGGCATTTTCCCACTCTTTTTCCACAATTATTTTTCTGTTGGATATTTCTTGTTAGGCTAGGTAAAATTAAACCAGCATTGAACCTTGCCTCTTGAGAACACTTTCAATGGTAGGAGGTAGACTTGAAGTCGAGAGCTTGGCTACCTATTGATCCTCTAATACTGTTTAAAATAATACCAAGCCATATTCCCTTTTTTCCTAGTATTTTAATTCAATTTTTTTTTGTTTATGACATGTTTGGTTTTGTATGGATGCCTGTATATACTTACCCCTATAAAGCAAGCTATCTTCTACAGGGAAATATGTACTTCTTGTGAAGGTCGTTTCACATTCTTGAAACCTTATTTCCCTGAAAGCACACACCAAACGTACTTCTCTCAGTGGGCATAGTTAATATGAAAGTTGGATAGAAAATAATGTGGTTTTTCTTTTTGTGTTCCTTAAGCTTGCTCATTTTTTTGAATTGTTTTGTTACAGAAGGAAAGTTGACGCTGGAGTTACTAGAAGGAGCACAGAGTCTTTAAGGTCTACCAAGGGCAGAAATCCATCTTGCCCTGACAGTAATGCTGCATTGTTCTGTTCGTTTCTGGTTTACATCTAATTCCTGGCTGACAAGTGTCCGTTTTTCATGCTCATTCATTAGTCACCCTTGCATTAGCACTGCCTTGAAGGCGTCTGGTCTGCCTCTTATCGCATTTCTCAGAAATGATGAAAGATATCCTTAAAGTTTTACCCACCCACCCATCACAGCAAAACCCAGAACAGCAAAGAGATAAAATACATTTGATTAGAAAAAAGAATAGGGTCATTCTTTGCTCTTTCTTAGAAGTTGACAGGTAGAAAAGGAAGTGGGGAAATGCCGTGAGTTCCTGTAGAAACTATTAACTTTAGCAGGCAAAAATGCAACTTCTGAGTGGTTTGTAAGCTAAAAATGCATTAAACGTAAAAGGGAGTCATTTAGAGGTGCGTCAAACTTAAGATCTAATGCCCCTCTCCCCAAAAAGCATAGCGATTCAGAAATAAAGCTAACAATATGGTGTACACTGAGCTTCTAATTTCCCATTATACTATTTCAGTTTTATGCATGTGGAAATTCTCTCACTTCAGTGGAGCTCTGAAGGCAGCCATCTGTCCTTCCCAGAGAGGGTTGTGCAGGAGTATTTCAGGAGTCTGGGAGGAAAGTCTCATCTTAAGTATGCTGTAAATGTGCTGCGATATATGCCACAGGAGCCCCCTCTGAATTTACTAAGACTACACATTAGTAAAGAAAATAGAGTCTGGCTCAAGGTGGCAGACCAGAATTTTAATTCTTCTCCTCGGTTTCTTTTTATGAAGACAGCCTTGAAGGGAAGTTAGAGGCAGGGGAAAGTGCTTGATGGGGGTGCTGGCTGTCCCCTGAACCCGGTGGTGACATCTCCACCTGCAGCTGGGTGAAATACGTGAGAGGGCTGGTGAGAAAAAACAAGACGGACCCTTCAGCATCGCTGTCCACCAGGGCTTGCTCCGCTCCGGAAGAGATGAGCTGTGGCGGCAATGTTACCTGTATAAGGGGCAGAAGAGCATCGCTAACACAGACAATCAGGGGTTATTCGACGTTTCCAAAATAATAACGGAAAGAAAGTGCAACCGCCTTTCTCTTGTGTCTCTCCCTGCTGAAGGTGAGCACAGAGAAGGCTCTCTCTCAGCCTCGCATTAACAGGGCTGCTGCCGACCCGAGGCTTTAATAATTCACACTGCCTCTTCACAGACAAAGAGGTCCTGACCCAGAATGGATCAAATGCTTTATTGGTTTGCCTTTTCAGGCATATTTTCTGAAGATTGTTAAAATTTTTCTTTTTTTTTCTTTTTTTTAAATGGGATGTATTTTATTTGTCTTTTACCATTCTCTGGGAAAATGTATCCCTTCTGTCCTTGCTTGCAAGCAACTGTAACTTATATGACACTTTCAAAAAGTGAAAAGCGCTATTGAAAATACTCTGCTTGGAGAAGATCCAAAGTCCCCCAGTACATTAGCAAGCTCACCCACTCCCGGTCGACAGTGTGAAGTTGCCGGGATGACTATAATTGTTAAATGGCAAAGGAAGCTGAAGATTGAAGAATTAGAAGGATGTTGTTGCTATCCACAGAAATCATAGCAGAGGACATAGAAAAAAAACCCCGTCATTTAAAAACCCAGTGCTGTCCCAGCAGGGTGTTTTCATGATAGTTAGAGCGGGTGACAAAGTTGTTTGTCCAGGCCCTCCGCTTCTTCATCACTTAAAAAACCGCCTTGTTAACTTGTTTGCCTGTTACAACAAGAGAACCTTACGCTTGCTTGGGTAAAACCTGCCCTGCACAGGCGCCACCCGTAGCTATTTGTAGGTGGCATGGCTGTGGTGGGAGGTGGTGGGTAGTTTTGGTGGGATAAAGCTGGGAACACGTGGGAGGGAGCCAACAGAATAGGGCATAAGAGCTCCCGATCTTGTAAATACACAATTATGTACTTCCCCCCATCCCCCAAATTAGTATCATTTACTCAATAGTATCTAATGGTTCCTTTGAGAACATTACTGTCTATTATGTCAAGGCCCCTACTTAGTGTATATTTTAGTTTGTGGATCGTTGACCCGCTCGAATCCAGCGGCGCCGTTCGAGCGTCTGCACGCAGCAAGGCTCCGCGGGCGGGGGGCAGCCGGGGTCCCGCAGGGCTCGTCTCACCTGCCGCAGCCCCACTGCAACGCCGCCCCGGGAAAAGGGGCCGTTCACACCCAACAATTCCAGCTGATAATAAAGAAGTTCAAGTGGGATTTTTTACTGTTATTACACATTTCTAGACTAATGCTATTTGCCCTTGTACGCACTAAAATTTGGGGTTTTTTTTAAAGGCAAGTGCTTTATGAGAGAGGTGATTATTGTGCACGTGAGGCTATGGGGAACTTCAGAGCTCTATGAATGTTTCAGGAAGGTAAGGCAGGACAGTAAATCAACGTGTCAGGGAAAAAACTCAAGATTATTATCTATCTAATCTGCCTCTATTGTCTTCACCCCTCCATATCTGGACACCTGAAAGCTATTATTAATGTACTATTTATTACTGTGCCTATATGCTTCCATTACCAGCACGGTAACTTTCTCATTTATCCTCAGCCGCGATATTAGAGCACGATACATCTGCTATAATTGTCTGCACCATGCACATATGTGTACCTGTTAGATGCACTAAGTCGTACCCAATGTGGAGGTAATTCTTTTCCTTTGGAAATACCTGGGAACTATCAATGGTCTGTTCACATGGGTACTGCTAGCAATATAACCTGGGTTATTTCCTAATCTAAAGCAAACTGCATTAACCTGGCGTTACGTGTGCCCAGGATACATACCAAGCCCACAAGATGTGTGAGGAGTCTGGGCCAAGGGAATGGTGTTGTGTCCTGGGGAACCCCCCAGCTCCTGAAAGAGCTGCTCATCTCTGTGTTTAATGTGCAGAAGTACAGCAAGCCAAAACTCAGCTTTTGTCCTTGGAACAAATCCCACCCACAGGGCACCTGGAGGGTTTTGGTTTTACTCAAATTGAGCCATACAACCCAAACGTTCCCTAGTTCGCCTGTCAGAGAGGGTGGGATGAAGCTGGTGGGCTGGTGATGCTGGAGCAGGCAATGTGGTGGGAGCTATATACGGGTGTCAGAGACTAACCTAATCTGACCGGTGGTCTTGCTGTGGTCGCTCTCACGTGAACGAGCCTCGCTGGCCTGGAATAACTCCAGTGTGATAAGGATGCTGACAGGCACAGTCCGGTGAAGCTTGGCATGTCATCCTAAGAAATGATCACTTCCAGATGTTTGCTCCTCCTCTTTGCCATAAGTTATCTGGTGTAGGTTAAAGCCCCCTGCATCAACAACTGAGGTTAAAATGGTGGATTTTGTAGTGAGGTGGCTGTGCTTCCTTTTGAGAGAGGGTAACCCCCAAACAGGCAGACAGCAGGAGGCAGTAATTTCTTATATCACCACAGTAAGATCTGCCAAAGCTTATCTTTTTGTGCCCTAAACTCCTAAACTGCGGCTGTAAATCCCGTCCCATCAGAGGGGCTCCCACCCTCCCTGCCCTATGTGCCGGAGGGAGCAAAAACGGTGGTGGGAGGGAGCAGGGTTTGGGGTCGCTCCTCTCGTGCCTGCGGTGCAGGGGAAGAACAGAGATGCCTCAGTTTCACTAGGGGTTTAAGGACATTAATGTTTACCACGTTATCAACTTAAAATCAGCATCTCCAGCTATGGTAAAGCTTAGTAGATTGACATTTAATTCCAGGTAGCTGAACAACCACATTTTCCCGATATAGGCAAAGAGGCAGAGGTCTTGTGCTCTCCGAAGGTGAGTTTCAGGGGAGCTGATTTTGGTGGCAGATGCCCCATCTCCTTTTCCATCTGTCCATTCGCTGTCCCCAGGTTTTGCCCTTTGGTAGTGCTGATGCAGTTCCTGGGGTCAGCTGTACATCAGATCTTGGAGGTAATCTAGATGAAAAAATAACCTTTGGGTGGTTTATTTGTAAACTGGTTCAATTCAGTGATCTGTTTTCCAACACAGCCGCAGGTTATGGCTTCAAAATATGAAATACTTGGCTTTTAAAGTGTACCCATATGACTTGTTTCCGATATGACAAGAGTATTTGTGCAACCTTGCAGAGAGCTGGCATAGGGAACTGGTCTGACTTCAGAACAAAAAGTAAAATAAAAATAACTTTTTTGCAAGGTTTTTTTTTTTAAAATCAGGCTAGCTTCCCGATGTGACTTGGAACACGGTCCCATGTCCATTTTTAGCAGGAACCAGCAGCAGGTGGAAATATCCCCAGTCACTATTGAGGCTGAATGCTCGGTTCTCCAAACCCCTGTCCTCGCTGGCACAGCAGAGAGGGTGCCAGTCTGAGGCAGAAATATGGAGCTGGTGGTAAGGAGGGAACTTCTCAAGTCCATTTTACCACCAACACAAAGATATTAGCAGCATACAAAAAAGCCAGAGTGCACAGCTGTCTGGTATGATGAACTGGTCTGACATTTGGAGACCCATTCGATGTTCCCTCTGCCCGCCGCATTTCTGTGGTGCTGTGCAGGGATCCAAGCACGGTTGAGCTCCATATTACTACTACTACTACTACTACTACTATTACTACTACTACTACTACTATTATTATTATTGTTGTTGTTGTTGTTAATTAATTAATTAATTAGTGCTACTGGGATAATGATAAGGTGAACACAAGTTAGCTAAAGCTGTAAAGTTAATGCTTATAAACTAAAAGTACATTAAATCGCAGCATGAGCACTTTCATCCATGAGTTTAAGACAACTCAGCTTACGTGCTGTAGTTTTACAGATTTATTTAATTTTCTGTAACTTTCTTTAGTACTTCACTGGCATAGTTTGCCAAACTGTAAATTATCTGAACAGTAAATTATCTGAAGAAGGGAGTTGTGTTCTTTTTGTTCTGTGTCTGGACATGACCTTCCACAGTGCGGCCTTGGATCCTCACTGGGTTCACATGCTCTACCACAATATAAATAATAAATCCACTATGAAACCTTTGACTGCTTAATGTTGGAATGAAGTGAAAACATGCCCCAGCCTTTTTTAAAAATGCTTCACTTTCCAGGGAGCAGAAATGCTACTTTCACTGTTGAGAAAGATCTCTTGCATTTATGCAGTATGGCAATCAAATGTAAATTACAACCAACCAGCTATTAATACTACTAATTCTTGTTCTTCTTCTCCCTCCCCAGATCTCCCCTGCTCCAGTGCCGGCCCCCCGAAGGCATCCCAGTAGCCGAGGTGAGCAGCAACAGCAGTGTCCTGGCACTTGGACATCCTAACTGAGGCCTGTCTGGTGGCTGATGGTCCAGTGAGTGAGGGCATGGCACGATGAAGGGGTGGTAATGGAGAGCTGACTGACTGCTGCTCATAGCCAAGATTGATCAGGAGCTGATTAATGGCTTTGGATTATGGTGCCTTGCTGGGCAGAGCGGTAGGCGGTTTGGTTTCAGTTTTTTCCTCCCTTTCAAAAATCTCAGTTATAGCTGGCATCCAAGGGACATGTACCTGGTGGAGCATATTAATACCAGCCTACTATCTTTCCTTTTCCTTTTAAAGAAAAAAACCCATTTCACTTATTCTGAGAGGCACCTTCTAAGCACAGTATAAAGATGTTTTCACTTTTAGTTTGCCAGGGTATATTTCCCTCACACGCCTGTGCATGTGCTTGTGTGTGCACCAGCCGGCCAGCTCAGCACGAGAGGATGTACTGTGGTCCATTACGGGCTCCCCGGTGAAGCGGCATTAGGTGGGGGCAAGTAGGGGATGTGTCTGCCTACTGATCCATCTTCAGGGTCTTATTTGTTTTTCCTACTGGCATTTAAGTAAACCAGGAGTGGGTAGCCTGCCCTCCACCTGGCAGGAGCAAGCCTGCCCTTCAGCAAAACCTGTGCCCACTGGCAGCAGCGGGCATCCCCGTGAACAGGAGTTTGCCTAAGGGCTGTGGTGGCTCTGGCTTCAGCCTCATTGCTCATGGGGGGGGGTGTCTCTGAGTCACAGGGGGGCCTCTGAAATCCTAAATCTGCTGTGGCTGTTAAGAGAAAAATTGATTGTTAATGACGGTAATTCCCCTATCTGAATTCTCCTCGGTTTTCCTCTGCCACGCACAGAAGAAAGTCTTGCCAATTTGCATTAGGATAAGTTAGACTGTCATGGCTAAGTAGCAAAGTGGTTGTCACTCAGCACTGATGACTGATTTCTCAGGAGATGAAGCTTAAAGTGTTACCTCCCCATCTAACCCAAGTTTAGATTTAATCAGAATTACAGAAACATGTCCACAAACATCGGAAGGAATAATTAGCATAGAAGATTTTTCCCATTTTCTTTTTCCATAGGCTATTTTCCTTCCCCATTAAGATCCCCAAAACAGTAAAGAGCATTTAGGTCTGCCAAGCCAGCTTGCTGACAACAGTAATACTAATCAGCTGGCTTTCCTCAGGAACTTAGCAGCAATTTTTTATTTTCCTTTCTGATGCTTCTTTGCATCAAATCAACTTGCTGTTCTGCCATGACAGGAGTGTTTGCAATGGGATACGTTGCTCAGGCGGTGCAGGGTAGTACTGGGGAACTTCATTACCTCTGCTAGAAACAGAGATTGATGGTGACGGGTAGTTTGTTTGAGTGCAGTGTTACAAACGCCTCTGAAATTTCAGCAGCCGGTCCGGTTATTCCCTTGGAAAGGTCTGTAATGCCTGGTCGGGTGGCTGGGACCCAAACAGCATGATTTAACATGATGCGTGGAAGTGATCTCTGAAAAGATCCTCTGTGGGCTGCTCTCATAATAACTGCACTTTTTCCTACCTTCTTGTATCCTGGCTCGCTCCGTCAATAGCTGAGATTCATGACTGTACATTAACTGGCTCTGAATCTTATTTGTACCGTGGTCAGGGCAGACACCAATTAACACTTGGCAGGCTCAGAAATCGTATACTCCCCGTCTGACATTCAAAAGAACCATTCTCAATGTTGTTTTTTTTCCTTTTCTGACTTTTGAAGTCAGAAGGAGATCAAACGCCCAGATTGGACAGCTGCCTAATACAGCCTCTTTGTAGATTCTTTCCAACACTATTAAAAGAACAAAGACCTGAACACTAATGAATATGAATACCTTAATGTGACACTTTATTACAGCCACTTGCTGCAGCGGGTAAGATAAATTTAAAAAAAATGGAAGGATGAAACGCAACTTGGTGGGTTCAAGGATTACATGATTATTTTAATTTAGAGATGAATGAGTTCCTTGTTTAAGACTTGGTTTATTTGTTCGGAGAAGTTTCTGATATGATGGTACAGGTAACTAAGTAAGAAAGGACTCGGGAGAAGGCAGGCAGCAGGCTGAGACTATTTTCCATCTTGTTGAAAGACTGCTTTGATTCCGAGTAAGGTAATGCATACGCTGCAGCTGTGAGCAGCATTTCCAAATGCTTTGGTGAGCATGCACCTCAGACTCTTCCCACTCTGGGCAGTGTTTTGTTTCGGGTTTTTTCCACTTACTGCCTTCTGAAGGAGTCGCTGGATTTAATACCAAAACAGAGGAAGAAAATGTTACGCTTGTGAAACTACAAACACACATTCAGTGTAATGTAATGCTGGAGTCCAGAGTCCCAGCACCTTCCCCTTGCTTTTTCTCTTTAATTTTATTCTCCTGCTTCATTTTGCTTTTTTCCTGGTATTTCAAAGTGGTGGGAACAACCACGCTCGGGGATACATCCTGTCCTCTTTTCAGTAGCTGGGGAATTTACTCTTATAATTCCCAGCAAATTTAATTGCAGTTAACTGTGTGGAGCTCTTACGGATCAATGCTAGAGCAGATCTTACTATTACTGAAAAGCTGAACCACACAGCAGCATACAGTTGCTCCAGAGGGCACGAAGGACAAAGACAGAGGTGGGCAGGCAAAGCTTTTAAGGCAGCGCTTACCAGTCCCTCAGATCCACTAGGACATGACGAGCATTAGAGTAGGCTCAGATCACGGCCACTAGAAAAAAAAAAAGTCCAAGATCCAAATAGAAGGTGGTGTGTTAAAATACACCAGCCTCGTGGCCTGAGGTCAAATCAAAGTACGTCTTGCTTGTTCATTTGGGACAAAGCAAGGAGCTGAGGGTTTGCTTGGTTTCTGGGAAAACCAAGTCAGCTTCTTTGGGGCCATTACACCCCTGTCCACCAGCCCCGACCAGCGTCGGTGCCAGCTGCGCCGTGGGATGCCTCCCCACTCCCAGTTCTACAGCCAATATCAAGCTGAGCCTACCTACAGGTTCCGAAACACCTGGGTAGATGTTCTGTCTTTTCCCATGCGTGGCTCGGGCAAGCAGCAGCAGGACCAGCACAGCTGCTAGGAAATTAAAAAAAAAAGGAATGGACATAAAACCAAACAACACCGTGTACTCCATGCTTCCCTGCCTTCTGCTTTTCCTCAGTGGGGAGAAATAGGATACGGTGGTGAGATAAGGGGCCTGACCTGCCAGACTCAGTGGGAGCTGCCGGTGCTCAGCAGAAGTCAGACAGGTCCAGCTCCCCGGTGTCAGCAGAAGCATCCATTTCGATGCCACTCTCTTCCACGCGTGCATTTTGTCAAACCTAACGTGAGGAGGCAGGAAGGTTCCCGTTCTGCGATGCTCCAACAGTAATGGCAGAGTTAATAGCAATTAACCCCTTAGCTCATTTAATTTGTTCTTTGAAAGATGCCAGCATTGTACTGCCTGTGATAAAATACAGTTAGAGACACCAAGTCACATCAAATTAGCTCGTTGCGATAGGTTATAGATCAACACGTCAATGAGATGTAAGATTGGTTAATATGCCATAAGCTGCCAGATGCACTTTTGCGTTGAAATATATGATTTGCAGAGCCTTTAACAGGGGGATAATTGCTTCTTTAATTATAATTGAGGTGCTTCACAGAGTACTTTAATTGCAGAACAGGGTGTAACGTACAGTTTGGTGACCCAGTTGAGTTTAAAACTGGACGTGGTATTTATCCACGTTCGTGTCTTTAATTAGGAACTAGAGCAAGAGGAAAAGCATCTCTGAGTCAAGAGGCAGAAGAGGGTGTTTTGCCGAGTCAAGATGACTGTGACACAGGCATAATGCAGCTGCATTTGCACAGGCACAAGCTGGTGGAAGCTGGGGACTTCTCCAAATAGGCAACATCAGGTGGCTGCTCCATCTAATTGATTATTAATATGACCGCTGTTCGCTGTGTTTTGTGAGAGCCACTTATGTTTTGCAGCAGTTATCCCTTAATTGGGAGTTCATGTGTATGCATTTCCATGCAGGTGTGTGTCGCTGAGGCAGTGGTTTATATTCCCGGCAGGAAAGTGAGCTCTAAGAGAGGCAAGCAGAGGAGTTTGTGGCCACAAATACTAATTAGCTGGGAAGTGACACTGTCCTTTGCAGTGCCTTGCAACACACAGCAGCACTGCCTTCAGGTGTCAATGGGAGGAAGGGCGGGGAGGGAGGCAGGTTTGTGTGCAGAAGGAGCACGGCCCAAAATGAATGAGGACTGCTCATTTGTTTTGTCCTGGAGAGCCATTGGGTAAGGTCTGGCAACGCAGACCCGTCCTTCTCCAAAAGTACAGGATAAAGCTCCCCGTAGCTGTTGCTGTCTGCTCCCATGCATTTCTATTCCTTTTTACATACTTTTTACACCCCGATCTACTGGTGGGTGGTCAGGGCGCTCTTTTGAGAAGCATGAGAGGTAGGTTACAACGCCCTGCTTGAGGATAGGCTTGCATTTGGGTCTTGTGCTTTCCTGGGAAATAGTTGACTACTAGCTTAGGTGGCCTTATTTTTACATTTCCTACCAGTTCATTTCCACAGTGCAGAAACCCAGGCCGAGTTGTGCAGGTCTTCTTGCAGGACTGAGTTTTCTGAGGCCTGCATTTTCTATGGGATCTACCCCTATACTTTTCCTTTCCAGTGCAGTTCCATTGATGCCAGCATACGTGAGGACAGAGCGTGCCTCCTAAGTGAATCAAGTTTCTGTATGATTGGATCTGACCACAGGCAAGGAGGATCTGTGGGAGTGGAGAACAGTCAGGTTTCTAGGTCCTCCATAAAATATTACAATGGGAGGTTTTCTACAAGAGCATCACAATGAACCCTTCTAGCTTATCCTCTCTGCAGCTTGCTTTTTGCAGCGAAGATGGCTCTGGGATGCTGGTTTAGCTAACACAAACTACCTCTCCTCTTCAGGCTGTATTCAGAAAGAGCAGCATTTTACCTTATGCATATTTTTTGAA